TATTGTTTTTGAAAACATGAATTAAAGAATGATTTGGATCAAGAAAATATTAACACCAGTATACATTGTACCAGTATATATAAAAAAATAAGTGTGAAGGTGTCAAACTGACTCCTATTTTATTTATAACATACATTCCTATATTTTACATTGAACTCATCAAAAATCAGTGAAAATAAATGTCATAAAAATCACCCAAATTGTCTTTTTAGCGAAAATCAATTTCAGCTCAAATAAAGTATTTCACAATAATAATATTTATTATACATCTGTCACCATAACACTATAAGTTACAGCGTGTCTTAATTTTGTGGTACTTTGCAGGGTATTTTCATCCAACCATATAGGGAAATGCGTATTTTTAATATGAATTGATTACGCACGTAAGCATCCTCTAATAATAAAAACAAACATGGCTGCCACAAGAGTTTGACCATACTTCACACAAAGAAGTTCGCTCATTTTGTTCTAAACTTTTTGGATTTCGGCATTCCCATGATGTATCCTTGGAAGGAAAAGATGTATAATAATAAGGTTATTACGAGAATACCTAAAAGTATACACTCAGACAGTACGCCGTTGCATCGACCTCCACTGCACGTCAGTCGATACTCTCGCTGTACTGCCTTCGTGCATACTTTGAGCTATCCTCGTAATAACATCATAATATTCTTATCTGCAATTGCATTCTTTTCTAATAATTGTTTGTTTTTTCCAGTCGTCCAAACATTCCTGGTTATGCTGGATGTACACATTGGGAAAGTCGAATTCCTGCCAACAGTGAAATGCCAACTCCTCCTCCCCAGAGTACAGCAAGAGTTCATGCGTAAGCATCACACATCATTATGTAGCATCTTTCTATTGGCAAAATATAAAAAAAAAAAGTTTTATTTCACAGTGTCTCTAGGAACAGAGTCGCAGTGACTTTTACTGGGGCTCTTAACGATATAATTTCGTCAAAATTATATATGAAACCTTTGACGTATTGATAATATGTGTACTGTAATGAATACAACTGCTACAGCCGGTATTCCTTTGCCAATACCCGAACATCACAAAGCAGTTCCGTAGCTTTGGTTGGTGTTGAGTTTTCAGAATCCTAATCACCACATTGCAACAATGCAACTTTAAGACAGACAGTCACAGTGACTTTTTTTAAGGACACAGAATCATTGTCAATTTTACTGGGAGGAAGTCACAGTGAATGCCATGAATATACATTTGTAGATACATATTCAAACTATAAAATTATGTAGCAACAATACATTATGTGTCTCAAATATATTGTTTTGTTTGTTTTTTTCAGGAGATTACCAATACCAGCCAATTCATCTCCACACAAACGGCTATCACACATGTCGAAGATGGTGACACTTGTTCCACCATGCAATCCATTCAACAAAATAGACAGACAGGAAGTGACGACATAGAAAACAAATATCTACCTGAAGAAGTAATGTTCAAGCAGTATTCAAACAGAAAGTGATTTCATAGAAAAGTTGTAACTTACAGGAATTCAGTTTTCATTTCATCTGAATGCATTCATGTTGTTTTTGTGATTGATTTTCCTTATATGGTCAAACACAGAGCAGTCCTGTGCCTAAGTGATCTAAATGCTGGTTTCTTATTGGATGATTGGAGAGTGAAAGAAACTTATCATTGACAGAAGAAGATTCATTCTTAGAACTTAGAAATACATGGTGTATGATGTATGAACGATTTCTGCCTGCTGTAGTTACAATGACTGTACTCTGTCCAGCTCATCCTGCCAGGGAGATGCCAGAAAAATTACTGTACATTAAATTCCGGGAATGTAGTGTGAGATGATCATTAGCATAAAGTAGGTCCAGCACTTTTTCTTTGAAAAGATTAGTTTTAGTTTCATTTTGCCGTGGTTTAGTGTTAAAAAAAGATGACTTTTACTGCATCGTGTGCTGAACCTTGCAAGAGTTGAATCCGTCCAAATGAGTACCTTGAGTACTTTCCTGGGTCTTTTTGCTTGAATTCACAACTGTTTTTGTTTATCATGTGATAGTGTTTTGACAGTTTGTTTAAATTATATTTTACAAATAATGTCTATTAATTCCTGGGATCTGAGCAGGAAAATCATGGTATTGTTGCAGAAAAAAAACGTGCACTTTTGAAACAATTTACAGTTTCAAAAAAATTTAAATTATTTTGTTGTTTTAAATTCATGAATTGTGTAAGAGTTAATAAAATATGCGTTTGATTTTTTTAAATGTAGGAAATTATGAGTAAACCACAAGGAAATGCATTATTACATTTTTAATACAAGTTTTAAAATTAAAAAATATTTACAGATACGCAGAAAATGTGATTTATTTATGAGTTGTATGCTCCCATGAATGTTCAGTTCCCCACCAAAGATTTCTTTTTTTTATTTGAATTTTTAATTTAGACAAAACACCAGCAAATTAGTTTGCTAGTATTCATTAAAAATGTTGCAGAGGATGCAAAAGAAATGAATTGGACTATACATGCCTCATCTTCGCCAGCTAATGTGTGTCCTGTGTGATTTTGATGATATGCATGCCTCAGAAGGTGACAAGTGTGGGGTGGTTTAGTAGAACATGGAATAAGTTATCAAAACATGGTAGTTTTCATACATT